ACATATGGCACCAAGTAACAACGAATACAAATGCCGAGGCACCAGCTGGGTGCTGGCCCAGGTTAGTCACCTGATGCTTGAGGTGGTGATGAGGCTTTAGTGAATGGGGAAGTTAGGGAGGAGAGTGGACGGCGGGAGGGAGAAGTGGGGAGGGAGAAGGCAGAGCGGGTATCGTCACTGCTCCCACGGTCATCAAGAATGTCAGCACTGGTAGATCTGCCCTTCTCAACCTGAGGTAGGCGAAGACAACCGATTAGGAGGATCATTGTGGATTCTGGATTTACGACAGTTATATGTTGTGAGCTACTTTTTGCAAGAGGGAACATCTCATGGACCAATAAATACACATCAAGAAAAACTATCTATATTGAGAGTAATCAGAATTTTGAAAAAGGGGAACATGCACAGCATGAGATATAAATGAGTAAATGCCAATAATATCTGTACAGTAGACTCAAAAAAGATAAATATTTTGAGAGAGAGAGAGAGAGAGAGAGAGAGAGAGAGAGAGAGAGAGAGAGAGAGAGAGAGAGAGAGAAAGAAAAAACAATAAATACATATAAGACATATAAACCACTGACAAAAGGCACAGAGAGAGAGAGAAAAAAAAAACCCTCACCGCTTTCTTTTCCTTGGATCTTGAGAGTCTCAGCTTTGAGAGCTTGTCCCTCATGCTCGATGGACTCTTGGGAGCGCACTTAGGAGTCTCAGCAGGGGCAACGTTGGTCTGCTGCGCCGCTGCTTTGCTTCCACTGTCTTGCACATCACTACCTTGTTGCTGCTGCTCATTTTTCTTTTTCTCATCCCCTGATTTGCTGAACATACCTGAGGAGATGATGTCAGTGTTGTTACTAAAAAAACAAGATTTGAATACATCCAATACTTATATGCTATATTTCCTTGGAGCTTGATGAGTAAAATATTTGCTGTAATTTAATCCCGTCCATCACTGTTATCTATTGAACTTGAACAATATTTTTGAAATGCAATTTATCTAAAAACCATCCTTAGATAAAGAATTTAAAAAGGATAGGAAAAAAAGGGCAAATGGGGTCTTTACACAAACCACAACTGAAAGTAAAACAAATCAAACCATGTAAAAGAAAAGGGGGATGTGGAAAAAAAAGAAATAATGAAATAAAACATTAATTCATTACATCCGCTTAGACAGATTTTTTTTTTTATAGTATAGTAATTAATCATAATGAAAAAAAAAATATAGAAAGGATATGGCTGCTTGAGAATCCTATATACTTCCTCCTTTTATGATGTAGTTTGTTCCATATGAACTTTAGGACAAGCAAAACCCTGATCTTTTACCTGTAAACACTTGTATAAGACTGCGCCTCCTTTCCCGATCCTTTGATTTCTTTCCAGACTTTTTCTCCTGTGTTTTCTCTGAGGCTGGCGTGTCTTCAACCTGTTTGCTAGATGGTGCTGTTGTTGACATGACAGCTGCAGGTGCTGATGTTATTGATATGGACTTCTGATCACTTGGAGCATTGGTAATTGTAGATGATGATGAGCTGATGCTTGGTGTTGTATTGGTGGTGGATAAGGTTGCTGTAGGAGCAGGACCTTTGCTTGGGGAGGAGGTGAAGACTTGAAGTGATTCCAGCTCGAGAAGAGAGGGCCGGTGTGTGGTTCTGCGTAGTAACTGGCTGTTGGGGCGTGAATCTCCGTTTTCAGAGCTCTTGGTGCTTCCTCTTCGTTTCTGCCTGTACTCTTCCAGCCTCTCCCTGACACGGTCATCTTTGTTGCACCATTCCTCCTTCTTGCCCTCGGGTTCACGCTGACGATGCTCTCGTTGTTCTGCAAGCAACTCTCTCACTCGTTCCTCTTTATCTTTCGTTCTAGGTTCCTCTCCTTTGACAGGAACATCTTTTCTTACAGGGTGTTCTTTGTCCTTAGCTCTCACTTCATCTCCCTTAGAAGTTGTGTTTGTTCTTAATAAGGAATCTTTGACACGATCTTCCCGGTCACATTCACTCTCACTCACGCTTCCCTTTTTAAGTTTTTCTCGCAAATTATCAGCCAAATTAGGAGGACTTAACCCTAGGTCTAAGTCTGTCTTCAATTTGGCACGAAGCCTAGCCTCTTCTCTGACCTTTTCTCGCTCAACAGTACTTAAATTTGGAGTTGAAATGGGTCTCTCTACACCTATTGGAGTGTACATTCCCTTTAATGAAGCTGCATGCTGTGTCCTTGGAGGGGGTGTTGGAGCTATCGTCGTAGGTACCTTGAACAGCTCTCGCTTTGGACAAGGTTGGTCAAACTGCTCTGGATGTGTTAGTGGTGTTGCTGGAAGGTTGTTGTGAGATGGGCTTGGGACCTCTTTAATTGGAGAGCTCTTCCTTGGAGACTTTTCCTTCCTGGGGCTCTTTGGAACTTTTTTACTCGACACTACAATATTTTTCTCATCTTCCTTTAATACAAACACCTCTTCATCTTGGCTATCATCAGCAAATGGTACATTTACATCTTGGAGACTTCCATGTTTCCCTACAGTTCCAAGAACACTGTCCTCTCTGAACATGGAACCAACTCGCACTTTGGATCTGTTCTCCTCAGCTTGGAAAGTCTGTCCACTTTCAGGAAGATCTCCACTAACTTCTGAGATGCTTCTCTTGGCACCACTGCCCAAGACACTGTCTTGCCTGAATGCAGCCCCAACTCTGACCTTCATCCTCTTTTCTTCAGCATCAAATGTATCGCCACTTTCAGGTAAGTCCGACGTTACCGTGTCTAACCTTAGCAATTTCTTGCAGTCAGCATGAATGGTCTTCTTTTCTGGTACCTCTCCATTGGTTATGTTATCTGTACTTCCATTTATTGGTGTATCAACCTTCTCAAGCAGATTCTCCTGAGATGACTGAGGACTAAAGAGTGAAGTACGTGAACTTGTGGACGAGAGTGGACTAATAGATGTTCTTGATCCTCTTCTTGTATTCTTGTCTGGTGTTTTGCGTGATATTCTAGACATTACCATTTCTCGAATTAGATCTTTTTCCTTTTCCTTATCTTTCCCTTTTAGACTCTTTTCAATTTGCTTCTTTGCTGTGTTAGGTGACACCAAGGAGACATTTTCAGTTGCAGGAACTGTCAATTTTTCATTGCGATTTTCATTTTTCTCCCTCTCCTCAATGTCTTGTTTTGTAGGAGTGAATAAAGGACTTTTAGTTGAATTTCTTCTCACATCCAGGGAATCCCTCACATATCCAAATGGACTCACTCTCTCCTTAAACCTTGGAATATATCCCTCATACCTGCTCTTGGTAACATAATCATCTAGAGAATCACGACGCTGTTCACTGCTGAACTTTGGTTTACTTTCACTCAAGGATGGTGGTTCAGATATACTTCTGGGCTCTTCTGGAATGTCTTTTGCCTCCTCTGGTGAATTCTCTAACAGCGGAACTGCATCTTCTTTGATGATATTGTTGTTTAGTGCTTCCTGAACACTACTCTGGGATGAGTCCTCTAATTCAGTACTTGTGCTGTCAGAGGACTTGCTATCACAGCCAGATAAATTCTCCGTGCCAACCATGGAAATCTGTGGCGCAACAGGAGTTGTGGGAGTCTCAGCTCCTAGTTTCGTGTAGCCTTCTTTGATGTGCGAGACCTCCTCGGGACTACTCGCACTTTCACCGCCTGTGTCCATATACTCAATCCCTTCCAGGTCAGCCAGAACACTCGGTTTTGAAGGCACTGAGGCAGTCTTGCTTGGGCCGGTGGAAATGGCTGAATCTGTGTCCCCAAGGCTCTCCTCTGAGGCTATCCGGGCTATGGTCTTGGAGGTACCTTTCTTGACAGAGAGTCGGCTTGTCTGGTTAACCTCAATCTCTAGGTCTTCTCCTGCACTAAAACCATCATTGTCTCCAGCCCAGTCAGAGAGCTCAGCTTCTGTGAGCTCCTTTCCCTCTGGGCTCGACAGGACATCTTTCTTCAGGGACCTTTTGCTCTCAGAGATATCCTCATCTAGGGTACTCTTATGAGACCTTTTACTTTCAGACCCTTCATCATCCTCTATTGAGCTCTTCAGGGAACACTTACTCTCTGACACATCAGCGTCTAACAAACTTCTGGGAGAAAGTTTTTCTTCCATCATTTCAGTGTCTTTAGTTTTTTTACACTCTTCAATTACAATCTCAACAGAAGGTTCAACTATCATTGGTTCACTTTTAACTTCCTCCTGGCTGTGCTCATGTGTTTTGCCAATATCTGTGGGTTCTGCAGATTTTTCAGCAACAACCTTTGCCAATACACTCTGTTCTGAACTTGTACTCTCACTTACTTTTCTATCACTATCTTTGACTGCATTATCTTTTACATGAGCTTGTTCCTTATGCAAAACTCCACTCGCTTTCACTTCAGGTGATTCAACCAATTCTGAAAATCTTTCAATGTCTTCAACTGCATCATTAGCAAGCTGATCAAAGAGTTCATCAATTGATTTCTGTGACTCATCGACCTTCTGAGATTCAATCAAATCACTTTGTTTCACCACTGGTTGTGCTTCCTCCTTAACAAGGCTTGCGCACTCAACTTGCATCTGATCTAGAGACCGTGGAGCATTCACTCTTACTAACTCCTGATTAATGGTTTCAACCCCTTCACTTTCACTTTGCCCTGGCTTTGATAAGCCAAAGTCATCGCCATCCGATGCACATACTTCCATGCGATCATCTGCTATCTTTTTATCACAGCTAGGTTGTGGCTGAGCATCGGCACTGTCTTTAGATACTGCAGGCTTGGCTTTGGCATCATCACTATTACCCTCAGATGTCCTTACATTATCATTCTTTGCAGCTAACAACTTCTCTTCCCGCATATCAATTGCTGATGGTATTTTATGGACAAATGACTTTTTATGACCTGAAGGCACATTATCATAATCTGATTCACTCTCACTTGATGAACTGCTGCTTGACTCACTACTGCTGACTTGCACAGGCACAGCACTGAAGCTTTTCTCTGGTGCAGAAACAGCTCCCTTACTCTTATCACTCTCTGATCCTAGAGACAAGGGGAAGCTTTTTAACTTGTCATCACCATCCTCTATTTTCTCATTATTTGAAGCTTCTACTGGATACACCGAGGATTCAACACGTGTGGTGATGTCTAAGGTGACGTCTTTGCTTGTAGTAGACGCAGTTTCAGTTGAATTCTTGTCAGCATTAGTCGAGTCTGAAGATGCATCACCCTGAGGCAGAGAAATGGACCGTGCAGGTAAATGTGGGGATGATGGGGATGAAATGGGAGATCTGGTGGCTGGCACAGAGGTGCTCATGAATGCTTGCATAGCTGCACTAGGCTGTGGGGCTGGATTCAGCATCTTCTGAGTTTCCGAGATCTTTTCCATGAAGCTCTTAAACCTATTGCCTAAGTCTGCTGTTGACACTGATTTCCGAGGCAAGTTTGCAGACTCCCCCAAGAGGTACTGACGCTTCAGCTGCAGGGCTCTCTTGGCAGCAATTGCCTCTGTGGACTCTGTCCTTTGCAGAAGCCTCTTTAGCTGCTCAGCATGTAGGTCAATTTTGCCAGCATTATTCAGATTTGTCAGGCTGGCACTCTTTTCACCCCCTTCCGGAGACCAGTCTTTGTCATTGGAATTCTTGGCTTGGCTTTCTATCTTCCCGAGGTCAACCTTCTGTGCAACAAGGTCACTTCTGGGGTCACCCTTCCTATCTGGAGATGGTTTTGCAGGTGATTTTTTATTCTGTGGCTCAGGGCTGTGGCTTAAGTGGTGAGTGTCTTGCGACTCATCGATGACAATGGTTGGAATCTCCTTCGGGGGCCCTGGCTGTACATGATCTTCAGCAAACTCAGAATCTGTGTCAATCTGGGTGTCACTTTCCTCACTCTCCTCATCAGATGCAACCTGTAGAACAATAAAACAGTGAAGCAGACATCAACAATAACAACACATAACAACAATAACAATAACAACATCAGTACACTTCCTAACTGAATCTTGCATTTGCAGTTCAAATACCAACCTCTGTATCAGATCCACTATCTGATGTTTCAGCCTTTCTTGGTGGTGCGGTTACATCAATGTTAACCTCCATGCGGCGAAGTTCACGCGCACGTTTAACTGCCTCTCCATCTTCATCTTCATCGTCATCATCACCACCTTCACCTTCTGTTGCTGTATGACTTTCATCACCTATACAGGAATAAATGTATTAGATGTTACCAATACTACTGAAAATAATAAATATCAAACTTCAGATAACAAGAAATAATGGATATAGAATGATTTTGCACAGAAAATGAAAGAAAAGAAGAGGAGGAAGAGGAGGAAGAGGAGGAGGAGAGGAGAGGAAGAAGAAGAAGAAGAGGAGGAAGAGGAGGAGGAGGAGGAGGAGGAGGAGAGGGGAAGGAAGGAGGGAGGAGGAGGGGGGAAGGAAGGAGAGGAGAGGAAGAAGAAGAAGAGGAGGAAGAGGAGGAAGAGGAGGAGGAGGAGGAGGAGGAGAGGGGAAGGAAGGAGGGAGGAGGAGGGGGGAAGGAAGGAGAGGAGAGGAAGAAGAAGAAGAAGAGGAGGAGGAGGAGGAGGAGAGGGGAAGGAAGGAGGGAGGAGGAGGGGGGAAGGAAGGAGAGGAGAGGAAGAAGAAGAAGAAGAGGAGGAGGAGGAGAGGGGAAGGAAGGAGGGAGGAGGAGGGGGGAAGGAAGGAGAGGAGAGGAAGAAGAAGAAGAAGAGGAGGAGGAGGAGAGGGGAAGGAAGGAGGGAGGAGGAGGGGGGAAGGAAGGAGAGGAGAGGAAGAAGAAGAAGAAGAGGAGGAGGAGGAGAGGGGAAGGAAGGAGGGAGGAGGAGGGGGGAAGGAAGGAGAGGAGAGGAAGAAGAAGAAGAAGAGGAGGAGGAGGAGGAGGAGAGGGGAAGGAAGGAGGGAGGAGGAGGGGGGAAGGAAGGAGAGGAGAGGAAGAAGAAGAAGAAGAGGAGGAGGAGGAGGGGGGAAGGAAGGAGAGGAGAGGAAGAAGAAGAAGAAGAGGAGGAGGAGGAGAGGGGAAGGAAGGAGGGAGGAGGAGGGGGGAAGGAAGGAGAGGAGAGGAAGAAGAAGAAGAAGAGGAGGAGGAGGAGAGGGGAAGGAAGGAGGGAGGAGGAGGGGGGAAGGAAGGAGAGGAGAGGAAGAAGAAGAAGAAGAGGAGGAGGAGGAGGAGGAGGAGGAGGAGAGGGGAAGGAAGGAGGGAGGAGGAGGGGGGAAGGAAGGAGAGGAGAGGAAGAAGAAGAAGAAGAGGAGGAGGAGGAGGAGGAGGAGGAGGAGGAGGAGGAGGAGGAGGAGGAGGAGGAGGAGGAGGAGGAGGAGGAGGAGGGAGGAGGAGGAGGAGGAGGAGGAGAGGGGAAGGAAGGAGGGAGGAGGAGGGGGGAAGGAAGGAGAGGAGAGGAAGAAGAAGAAGAAGAGGAGGAGGAGGAGGAGGAAGAAGTGGGCAAAAGAGGAGAATGACTTTAAGGGTGAACTTACCTTCAGCTCCATATTCTTCACTGTAATTATCAGATTCCAAATCAGACTCTGTCTCATGACCTGATACCCCATCATCATCATCAAGGCGGTCTGTTGAGTAACGTCTCTGCCAAGATTCAGCAAGTCTACGAGTTTCAGCAGCTGTCAGAGTGCCACCACCCTCTATAAATTCCATTTCTTCGTCTTCAACCTCTTCATCACTGAAAAGATATTTCATATATATCTAACTGGTAAGGAAAATATTACTGAAAATCTTTTTGACATACATAACTTCATGTCCTCATTACTAAAGACTACTTATAACAAAAAAGAAAGAAAGATAGAAAAAATCCATGAAAAGAACAAAAATACGAACCATATCTACAAACTAGAAGACAAACAATATTTCCTACCTTAAATCAGAATAGTCACTATCCTCATCTCCGTCCGTGTCATCCAACTCATTTGCCGAAGCCCCAAAGTTCCTGTCGGTCCACTCGTCCTCAGAGAGGTACTCTTCCTCGTCACTTTGCTCAACCACGGAATTCTCAAATTCAACCCGTTCTGGTGTGGTCCCTCGGTCCTCCGGGGAGATGGTGGTGGGGGTGCCCACTTTGGCTCCTCCCGTAACAGTCAGGAGAGCAGCTGTTGCACCGCCACCACCACCAATTACCGGTACCTGTAAGAATTGCATGTGCTACCATCACCCATGTGCCATGCCCAGCAGGAGAAGTGACAGCGAAAGACCCTGCTTTTTCCAGCACAAGGCCACTTCAGCCTCAGCATGGAGTATCTGTGGGAGGCATTCAATGTGGGGCAACCCTGATGTATCCTTCTCATTATGGGTCTATCACAAGCATTCCACAGAGATATTACAAAGAAGGTCTATCAGTTACAGAATAGGCATCTACAACATTATCAAACTACGGTGACCATTACACCTGAAGAAGAGCTGTGCTAGAGGGAGGCAACAAATACTGGAAAGACAAAACTGAATATGTTAACTTTCACCTCTGAATTATTTATGTCTGAATACAATGGGGAGAGAGACAAGTATTAAATAGTTAATTCATTTGTTATCTTATATACCATAGGTACATATGTATGCATATAAAGATATATACATAAATATGACCACATATCTGTGTGGAGGTATACCCTTTTGCTGGGGAAAAGAACTGAATCTGCAAATAAATTGTTACCATATTTACTAAAAGCTCCGTAACAAACAACATATAATTCAGTATTTTTCCCACCACAACATATACACCAATGCTACTTCCAATGATCCTGTAAAAAAGATATACAATAACACATTCACATATTCAAATAATTCAGAAAGAAGATATAAAGTGATCTGAAATATATACAAGAGAGAATCATCAGAGTGCATATCCAAAGTGAAAGAAGAGGACTTAGCATGGAAACCAGGGGTGAAAAATATTACCAAAGGAAGAGACTACTGTCAAATTGAGTCGATTACAGAAGTAAAAGCAAGAAATTCAGTCAATGGTGTCATTCGTGGTATGTGTCATTCTTTGTCTAACTACAGTGCAGATTTTGTGCAATATACTGGCGTTGGCATGCCACTGGTATTTACAAGTTTACAAAACTGCCATGTACTTTTTTAATATTTATTTATTTCCAACTTGTACAAAAAACTTACACTTCTGTAATACAAATCAATGTTTGTATATGACACTTTACATCCTCACAAAACCTTATATATATTACAAACTAAACAGATTTATCATTTAAGAAAAAAGTGCTTGGGTTAATCCTATGTTAATAACTTGTTAGTTTTACATACAAACAGTATCTATATTATAAATTTACATAATTCCGTACAAAATAAAAAAAAAGGGGAAAAAAAAAGTAAGATTACCAGACATCTAGTCAAGTCCAATATGGACTAGCTCTGAGTCTTAGTCATGCGATGGAGCCATGCAAGATACCGGCTCCATACTTGAGATGAGTCTATTGCCTTCAACTTTCCATCATCACACTCTGGGCTAGAGTGGGGTGGAGTCGAGTCATAGTCAGTGTCATAACCACAGTCATAGTATGGTCTTTCGTATAAATGTTTCGGTTGTGCTTTGATATCAGAAGGGGACAGGAACAAAGGCTGTACAGAAGTTGTCACAGACGGAGATGAAGTGGGATGACAGTGAGTGAAAGACATCATGGAGAGCAGTGGTGAAAGATTGGCCTTTGGAGAAGGCAGAGGTGAAGAAGGTGAGGGTAAATCTGTAGGGATGGATTTGAAATAAGTTGGGGAAGAAGGGTGTAGGGTTGGGGAGGATAGTACTCCAGAGGGTGAAGATGGCAGACAGGATAGAGAGCGAGATTTCACTGAGGAAGATGTAGAGGAGAGTAAAGGTATCAAAGTCTTAGCTGATGTAGTTTTATGTAATGTGTCTAATTGCATAGTCTGAGGACCATTGACACTGCCTGTTGTAATATTCTCTGGAGAGAAGTTATCAATCTCTCTTGTCAGTTGCAGATTCATGACTGCCTTGCACTTTCTGAGCTTCACTTCTTTGTTAGTGATATCTTTGGCTGAGTATTTAGGGTCAGAAGATTCCTGAGTTTGGAAGTCATTACTCTCTGAGAGATGAGTACTGCTAGACAATTGAACATATAGTTTAGGCTCTGAATCACCCTTGTGGTGATTCTGTGAATTAATATTCATGTTGCTAAACTGCTTTACAAGTGCAGTACTGTTGGGTAGTCTGAAACTCTGAGACAATCTACAATTTCTACCATGAGGGAATTTGGAATTTTCCTCAATATTAATTGGCATAAAGGACACAGAACTGGCTAGCACCCTACTGCAGTTGTCTTTGAACGAGTTCTGCCTATCCAAGCACCTTATCCCTAGCAAGGAACTATTGTCTGTGGATGCACAAGTTTGGTCAGTCTTTAAAATAATTTCCCTATCACTGGTCTTGTCAGTCAGATCAGATCCACCACTGTGGTGATTTAGGAAGTGCTTAGGGCGATAGTGAAGGGAGGAGGCTCGTCGTATGAGAGCTGTGTACTGCCGAGGAGACATCTCGCCATCACACTGTTGCATCCAATCTATTGACCCGTGACCATTTATAGGCCATGTTTGGGGTCCATTTCTCATCTGGAATCCCATGAATCCTGGGGTTAGTCTACAGGTTACTAGTAATAACTACTAAAAGCAAATAATGTGACTATGAGACATCTATTCATGAGAAAAAATATTGAGGGAAACAAGAGAGTGAGAGAGAGTATGTGAGAAAAAAATAAGTCATAACATAAAAACACATGCTTTCACAAAACCAACACAATTCAGATATTAAGAAGCAAGACGAGCCTTTAGAAATTTCTTTTAAAATTTCCATGCATTTTACTTTAACAAGCTCTACAGTAAGGTAATCAACTACAGACACACTACCTCTAAATCACAATTGTCTCTTGTGATATCAGTAAGACAAAGAAAGAAATGAAGATGTTAGGAAAAACAAAAACAAAAGGAGTTATCTGCCTAAGAATGATAGACCCCGAAGATTCCGAAGTTTCTCTATGCATTGTGTTTTTCTTATGGATATTCCTGTGTGCTAACCAAACCCTTTAGAACTAAGTCATTTCCTCTAATTTATAATCAATGGGTCTGTGGCTGAGAAAAGTTTGAAAATGTAGTCAGTAGTAGTTAATCATGACCTTTTTAGGAGACTAAAATATTTTCCTTTTTATCTAGGCAGTCTTCAAGGATTCAGATCACAAAAATTCTAATCAACTTTTAAAAAGAATTCAAGAGCAACAAACTTTATTTCCCTTCACTGAACATATAGGTGGGGAGAGAGAGAGAGTGAGAGAATAACAAATACACTGTTAACACTAACAAACATGACATATCATTTCTATAATTCAATAATCAATCATCCATGTAATGTACATATATATCTGAAGACTGTATAAATCATACTTAACCATGTTTAACCTATACTGACTACATCCCTCAAATTTCACCCGTGCAATCGTCTCAAGATCCAATCCCTCCCTACAGGTCTAGTAAAAACCCTGGCCCAGACAAACATTCTCGTTTCGTCCAGTTTTACCTTTCCTTCCCCCTGCTCAAAAACTGTTGTTCAGTGGCCCATGATAGCAAATCTTCCTCTCACCTGGCCTAGAAACAGCTGATGGGCGAGTAGAGCAGCAGGCTCGTGCGGTCTCATCATCTTAGGCTACCAAAATCCACGTATTATCACCACCAAGTAGGTCAGGGCCAGGAGTATCATCACCCAAACGAGGATCTGCCTCAACTAGAAGAGGCCATATATTTTGGATATGAAATACTCTCGGTTCCCCCTCTAGTGAAAGAGCTGTGGTTCATAACTTACGATGTAATTTGATTAGCAGTTGTGTGAGTGATGCGCGCAGCAAACTTTTTTTTTTTTTTTTTTTTTTTTTTTTTTTTTTTTTTTTTTTTTTTTTTTTTTTTTTTGGCTCAGTGCTACCCCATTACCTTCTACAGTCTTGGAGGATGTGAGTTCAAGATTTAAGAATAACAATTAAAATACTTTTTACATTCTAGGTTAATTTTCCTACTGTTTTACTGTACTCCCCAATTAACCACGAAGGAAATTTGTGCCACTGTTCACTATCCGACGAATGCAGTTATTTCCGAAACAAGTCAATATTTCTTTATTCTAAGTTTTACCTGCTTGATGCTTGAATCATTAGATTATTTTTTATTTTAATACCTGAAGTAGTTATACAACACCTTTCACCCTTTCTTTGCCTATGAGTAAAGATGAAAATATGAGTGTGTGTGATATTTAAAAGTATATGAATTTGAGTGATTGTACGAGAGTGTGTGTGTATATGAATGTTAGATACTATATTTGTTCATGAGGACTTGAGTTGAAGTTATTTGATAAGAGAAATCATATAAAAAAATTAGTGTGAGCAATTGCATATGAGGAGAGTGTATGGAAAGTGTAAATAACAATGAATGTCTGTCCATACTTTGTGTATCAGTATCATATTTTAATCCATTTTTAACAAGAAAGGTTCCTCTCTTTCCGT